CTACAGTTTTTGACCAGGATAGAAATTTACAAACAATGGCGCCCAACATGGATCACACTAAAAAGGGAGACTTCGATACCCAGAACACTGACAAAATTTCAGCAACCAACAATCGATCTCACTCAGCTCTCATCTTAAACCCACAGATTGTGGCCCCCAATGTTGAAAATCCAACACAACAAAATTCTAATAATCCACATTCGATTGCAAAACTCACCGAACATTTACAAACGATGGCGCCCAATGTGAATTCAACTTCAATGGCAAATTTTGGGCCCATTTATATGGCGCCCAACATAAACCAACCTTCAAATCTCGTCCTGAATCGACAACTTTTGATACCCCACGATACAAATTTTAATAGCCCACATTCGCATATAGAAGCTGCAGATCATACACAAATTGTGGCGCCCAACATTGTTCCACCTTCATTGGAAATTTGCAGCCATAATCAAAATCTACCCGAAATGGCGCCCAACATTGAAAATCCTAGCAATTTGAAGGCTCATGTGGACATTTCGAGGAGTAAAGACTACTCCGAGCCAACAAAACAGTTATCTGGTGTGGCGCCCAACGTTGTATCAAATTTTAATGCAAGCCAAAATCAAAATATGTTGGCGCCCAATTTGGAAAATTTGGGGAATCAAGAAAACTTGCATTCAAATAATTTTCAGACATCTAAGGACAACTATTCATATCGCAATTTCTCAGAATCTGATGAAACTAATCAAAATGTAGAAAATATGGCGCCCAACGTTGGGCCACATTTATCTTCAGGTGGAAATCTACAATTATTGGTGCCCAATGGGGGAAATTCTTGCAATCAGCAGCAGGTTAGACCCCATTCAAATGACAACCAAGGATCCGAAGGTGTTCAGGCGGCAGCCAAAGTTGTTAACATGAACCAACCTCCAATGGCATTTTTGGGCCATCAGCAGGAAGTTAGACCTCATTTAAATGACAAAACGGTATTCGATGGTGTCCAGGCGATCTCCAAAGATGTTACCATGAACCAACCTACAATGACATTTTTGGGCCATAATGAGAATTTAGAAAATATGGCGCCCAACATTGAAAATTCTGGAATTTTGGAAAATAATTTGGAACTTCTTAGGAGTAAAACTTACGATGGACCTAATCCAAATTTCCAAACTTCGTCGCCCATTAGAGAAAATTCTAGAATATTGGATTGTAATCTAGAAATGTATGGGAAGCCAGACAACAATGGTCCTCCTTATTCCAATAATGATCCTGCTGAAAAGTTCTCAAGAGTGTCGCCCAATGTTGCAAACCAAAATCAACAGTTATTGGCGACCAATGTGGAAAATTCTGCAAATCAAGATCACATTGTGCCTCATTCAAATCCCAACAAGGTTGACAAGGGTAAAACGGCGTCCCAGGAATCTGAAGATGATAGCCACATTTTGGCGCCCAACATTGAAAATTTTGGAAAATTGTACCACTCTGTGGCAGTCCTTGCACCGCCTCATTCAAATGCTGAGTCTGCGCAAGATTTAGCCGCTGTGGCGCCCAATTTGGAAAATTCAGGAAATCAAGACGACATTGGCCGTCATTCACGTAGCAGGCGAAAATCCAAGACAACCAAAACTTCCTATCGCTATTCGTCTTCAGAATGTGAAGAAGCAAAAGATTTTTCGTCATCGGAATCGGAATGGTCGGCAGGAGGAGGTGGAGAAGGACAAGAAGATAATACTGGTGAAAGCTGCACTGAAACCACTTCAGATGATGACGTCCAACCATTGGCCCTGTATAAACGTAAAAGAAAAATGAAGAAGGCTACGGAATCCCGACAAGAGAGTGAAAATGTGTCCAAGACTGGCGACAATGAGAAAACTCCGGGAATAAATTCCAATCCGTTGGTTAGAGAAAATGACCCGGGGACCAAACGTCTTAAAAGAGCCTATGATTTTGATCTATCCGATCAAGAAATTAAGAGTGAAGGGAGTGAAAATGCGGAAAAAGATGGAGCAGATCTTCTACTGAAAGGCCATAAAAGTGCCTATGATTTTGATATGTCTGAGGAGGACATCAAGGGAGAGGAGGAGGAAGAGGAAACCCCGGTCCCAAAGGAACCATTTAGACGAGCTTACGATTTTGATAAATCCGATGATGAGGAGCATATGAAAGGGCAACAAAATCCTCAAAATAATTATATAAAATCTCTAGAAGAGATGCTACAAGATCCAAATTCAAATTTACCCACACGACAACTGCAATTTCGTCCAGCATTTAAATTCGATTATTCGGATAACTCCGAAAATACCTCCGATGATGAATTGAATGAATTGGATAAATACATAAATAAGACATCCTCGGCAAAATCATGTTCACCATTGGGAAGGAAAAACGACTATTCTTTTCGAAAACATTTAAAACGTCCTGAAACACGAGTGGAATACGATGATTTAATTGCCAAATGGCGGCCTCAGCTGGAGTGTCGTATTTGCCATGCCACCTGTGAAAGATTCGGTGAACTACAGCAACACTTTGGCAATCGACATCCACACGAAGATTGTTATGTGGAATGTTGTCGATTGGAGTTACGCTATCGCTATGAATTCGAAAAGCACATCTACTATCATCGGCTGGAGGGCGCATACAAATGTGATATTTGTTATGAAATATACGCGAACAAATATCATTTGCAACTGCATCATCGGCAGCGTCACAGCGAACTTACACCAGAAGAAGCCGCAGCAGCAGCGGAACTACAACAGCCGAAATTTAAATGCTCCAAATGTGACAAAGCATATGGGGATAAATACAAACTTCGAACACATCAAAACTATTGTGAGGGTGTTGAGGATGATGATGTGGCGGCGGCGGCGGCGGAGAACCGCCACAAGTGCAATGAGTGTGGAAAATCGTTCAAATCAAAGCAGCTTTTAAGGCAACACATATATACTTTCCACAAAGGAAAGATATTCCAATGTGAGATTTGCGATAAAATTTATAAATATCCCTCATGTATGCTGCGTCATCGACGCACCCATTGTCCTGAGCGTAAATTTGCCTGTTCTCACTGTCCTAAGACATTTAAAGGTGGTACAGCATTAAATCATCACTATCGACTCTGTCACGTTGAGGTATGCAAGGAGCGCATGCGTAAGAAACAACAGCTGCGCAGTATCAAAAAGACCTACACGTGTGATCGATGTGAGAAGATATATCAAACTCCGCTAGCCCTTAAGGAACATAAGGCCAACCAGCATGATGGTATTGAAGCTATGTGGCCGTGTAAATATTGTGATAAAAAATATAGATACAGTTCGAATTTAGCGGCGCATGTTCAGCGGGTACATCCGAGTAAATATCAGGGAAAGGATAAAGAAATATCGAAAAGGGGAAAGAAAAAGTGATGAAAAAAAACTTCGAATTTATAAAAAAATTAATAATAAAAAAAATATAATGATTTTAAAGAAAAAAACTGATATTTTATTTCTCCCATTCTAATGGCGCCCAACGTAAATGCTATCAACATCCTGTGGCCTCCACTATTGCTAATTCTATTAGGCTAGCTTCGAATTTCGAATCCACAAGACATTTGTGATCCTGCAAAACAATTATCAGATGTGGCGCCCAACGCTGCATCAAATTTAAATGCAATCCAAAATCAAAAAAAAAAAAAATGTTGGCGCCTAATTTAGAAACATTTTGGGAATCAAGAATGATTACCTTCAAATGGTTACTCTGACATTGAAGATCATCTTATCGTATCGAAATTTCTCAGAATCTGAAGAAAATTATTAAAATTTAGAAAATTTGGCGCCCAACGTTGGGTCGCATTTATTTTCAAGTCATAGTCTACAGGAAGAGGAGGAAGAAAAAACCCCGGTCTCAAAAGAACCATACGAAAATTCGTGGAATCAGAACTACGCTGGGCCCCATTCTAGCCGTTTAAGATGAAAATTTCCCTAAGAATCCTATTAATGACAGTTTTTGTCCATATAAACAAAGTTGGCGCCCAACGTTAAAAAAATCTTTTGGTGCCAAATTTGGAAAATTCTTGGAATCAGGACTACGTTGGGTCTCATTCTAGCCGTTTTTTTGGTTATAAACAAAATTGGCGCCCAACGTTAAAATCAGAACTGCGATTGGCCTCTTCTAGCCGTTAAAGATGAAAATTTCCGTAAGAATCATATTAATGTCAGTTTTTGCCCACATAAACAAAGTTGGCGCCCAACGTTAACAAATCTTTTTTGTGCCAATTTTGGAAAATTCGTGGAATCAGGACTACGATGGGCCCCATTCTAGCCGTTTAAGATGAAATTTTCCCTAAGAATCCTATTAATGACAGTTTTTGTCCACATAAACAAAGTTGGCGCCCAACGTTAAAAAATCATTTTTTTAACAAATTTGGAAAATTCTTGGAATCAGGACTACGATTGGCCTCATTCTAGCCCTTTAAGATACAAATTTCCCTAAGAATCCTATTAATGGCAGTTTTTAGCCCACATAAACAAAATTGGCGACCAACGTGGAAAAATCTAGAATATGGAATCACAATTGGGAAAGGTCACAATGGTGCTCATTTGGAAAATTCTGGGAATCAGGACTTCAATTTGGGTTTCTAGGTCGAAACTTTCTCATGAAAATTGTTTTCTCGGAATCTGAGAATCTTTCTATAACTGTTTCTGGCGCCCAACACTAAAAATTCTAAAATATTGAATCACAATCTGAAGATTTCTAAAAGGCAATGTAACTCTGGGCTTTTTCCGAAGTGGGAGCTTACGGAAGATTTATTGGATTCGGTAACAAAAAACGTTCATTTTTCCATAGGTGCGGATTGAAAAAAATATATAGCCCTTTGAATATTCAAATTTCATTATATATAAATAAAATGCAAATATTAAATATAAAAAAAACTATTTCAACATTTTTATATTTTTTTATAACCCTTAAAAATTAAAAAAAAAATCCATGGGTTTTCTATCTCCACTATATTTCCGATTTACATTTCAAAACCCATTTCCATTATGTCACACATAATCACTTAAGATATCCGATATCAAATAATGTTGATCCTCAGCCCGCTCCTCCTCCGGCACCAGTTGATGCTGTGCATTATATTTCTGCTTCCCCAAACGTTCTTCCGGATGTAGATTCCGCAAATGATTATACATACTGGTGACTAAACCGAATTTTTTCGAACAATATTTACAGCTAAAGGATTTTTTACCCTCATGCTGGACCTGTTGATGGGCCAGCAGTGAACGTTTTGTTTGATATTGGCGATTGCATTTCGAACATTTAAAGGCATAATTTTGGCGATCAGTTGAGGGGGATTTTCGTTTTTTCCGTGGGGAAATTATTTCGCTTGGACTTTCAGTCAGAGGATCTTGGCTAGAAGAAGGTGAGGGATATTCTTGTTTAATATCTGTGCGGGGTATTATGTTTATTTCTTCTTCATCGCCTTGGTTGGCTTCCATGTCCCGCTCTATTCCTACATCTTCTTGAGGTTCGTTTATTGAATATATTGCAAATTGTTGTTGTTCTTCTTCGGTGTAAAACGAGACTGTTTCCACTTCGGAAGTATTGTGGTTCGCTTTTTCGGCCGCATGATGCTTTTTGATATGTGTACTCATGGTGGATTTTAGGTAAAACTTTTTAGCACAAAATCTACATGAATACAATTCCTGGCCAGTGTGTTTGGCTTCATGTTCTCGCAGGCCACGTTTTGTGTAATAGATTTTTCCACACAATTGACATGGAAAATCTTTCGATTTTAATTCCTTAACTGGGTTTTGGGTTCTGTGGGGGGTTGTGGTTTCTTTTATCGATTTTTGTTGGTGTTCCATATTTAGAGATTTTACTAAATCATCAAGGCTGGTTATCTTATCGTTACGTGAGCGTTCTGTTTGTAATTTCAGGGAATAGGAATAACGATGATTATTTTTCATGTGTGCATACATGTCGGATTGCCGCTGAAAAGGTTTGTGACAAAATTCACATTCATAGACTTTCGGTTGGGAATGTTGCGATTCGTGTTCCCTTAAGCTACGTTGACTGTGGAAGATTTCATCGCAGGTTGGACATTCATAGGAGGCCTCTTTTTCATTTGAATTTGCCAGATTTTTTAACCGGTTACTAAAACGTGTTGCCTTGGTGGTGGCGGGAGTGGTTGGACTTTCGGTGCCATGTTGTTTTTTCATGTGACTGGACAAACTGGAACTTAGAAAATATTCCTTGGAACAGATGCGACATGAAAACGATGGATTACCCTCATGTTTAGTTTCATGTTCACGCAAGGCCTTTTTCGTTTGATAGTCTTTATGGCAAATTTTACATTTAAAGGGCTTTGGACTGGTGCTGCTGACAGGCTCTCGATTTTTGTGTTTCAATCGTATGTGATATGACAAACTATTGGGTAAATGATATTTTTTCGTACAATAAGGGCAGGCATAGGAGCCCTCTCTCTGTTCGTGTAGATTCAAATGGGCTCGCAAATATCGTTTCGAATGATACAATTTGCCACAAATCCAGCAGGTACAATCAGCAGGTTCTGGGGCAGCATTATTATGCCCTTTCATCTTCTTTGAGTATCTCGCTTTGCTGCCCAATTTATTCCTTGGCAAATGTTTGCGTATCTCTGGCAATAATTCACGCGCCTCCTGGTTACGTTCCCTCTGCCATTCATTATAGTGATGCAGCTTCAAATGTCCTTGATAATCACCGAATTTCGTAAATGCCTCCCCACAATATTTACAATCTAATAGCATTTCTCCTTGATGATTATGGCGATGTTCCTGTGCATGATGCTCCCTTACTGCCTCCATATCCATAAATATTTTATTACATATTTTACATTTATAGATTTTTAGTTTTTCTTTTTTTATCTGCCTTTTCAGCTTATCGTTTACCGCAATAAATCTTGCCACTTTCATATTATGTTTATTTTTAAAATGTCGTTTTGTTGAAGAACGATTGGCAAAAGATTTCTGGCAGATATCACATTTATAGCTATTTAATGCTCGATGATACATAATATGGACTTTCAGTTCAAAATATTCTTTTAATTTCAGATCACAGCAAATTATGTGGAACTCTTCCAGGGGATGTTCTTGCATAAAATGTCTTTGTAATAAAGAAAATCGTTTAACGACTATATTACAAATTTCACATTGCAGATTTGATTTCCAGGTGGCAATTAAATCATCAAATTCGGCAGGGTTTTCTTGTGGTCCATGTTGTTCAATTATTTCAGTGATATATGCAACATTTGCCTTTGGTTCTTCCACAATAAAATCTTTTATATCATTTTCCGGTTCTTCCACTTCTTCATCATCATCTCCTACTCCTCCCCCTTCAGCTGGTGCATTATCTTCATCCACGCTGAATTCTTCAAATTTTATTGGAATATCCGCCACATAGTTGTCTTCCAATACTTCTTCGATAAGTTTAAAACTTTCATTGATTTTTATATTTTGTTTTACAATAATGGTCTCTTGGAATTTATGGAAGTCCTCAATGTAATGCCAACAATTTAGGCACAATTTCTTTAAATTTCTATTAAAGTCCATAGTTAGTAACTAAAAAAGGGGGAGTAAAATTATTATAAAATATTGATAGATATTTGTTTCTTCTGCTTACCTCCTCAGAAAAATATCTCTTTAACAATTCAAACACCTCATTTTCATAGCCTTCATTGTAAAGATCACAATAGGCATCATTGCAATATTCCAAACATAAACGGCAGGTTATTGGAGGTGGCATTTTGTTTGGCAAGGAACTATGTTTTAAGGAACTAGAAAAAAGAAAAAAATAATGGAAACTTAAAAAATAAGAATTTTTAATTCTTTTTTTTTAAATCCTTAAATAAATTATGAAATTCCATATTTGAAATTTGTTGCCTGCTTTTGGGAGCAACAAATTTAACATCAAGGACTCAGTCGCAGCCTTATTATAAAATCCATGATAAAATTATTTAAAAAAGGAATACATTTAATTTGGAAACAGGATTGTGTTTTTTTGCAGCAATACGAAACGGATCACGGTTTCTTGTGAAACACAATTTCTGCAAGCAGCCATTCTTTGGTTAATGATGAAACGCCCACACACTACTTTATGTCATATTATCAAGCACAATTTATATATTTCCTTAATACATTTTTGACTATTTGCGCTTTTCCCGCCGGAAAACCCGGGCAGGAGGTGGATAACGGCTTGTAGTTTGGCTTCTCTCTGTTGCAAGACATTTTCACAAACATTCTTTATTATTTATGAATTTAATTTATATTTCGTATTACCCAGCAGCATTTATATATTTCCTTAATAAATTTTTGACTCTTAGTGCTTTTCCCGCCTTAAACACCGGCCAGGAGGTGGATAATGGCTTTATAGTTTGCCTGGCTCTGTTGAAAGAAATGTTGACAAACAAGAACGGACAAAACCTTTCTTAATTTGGCGCCTTCAATACTTTACTCTTTACTATTAATTATGAAGCAGTAAATAAACATTTCCTTGATGATTTAGTGTTTCAAAATTAAAATGTCCTGTTTATATAAACAGGTCACGGTATTGATAAGCTCCCACATATTGCTTCCTTTTTGGAAAGAAATTTAAACAAACTAGAACGGACAAAACAAAACTGCCAACAATTTGGCGCCTTTATTAACGTCGCTCTCTTCTCTTTCTAAGTACACTTTCTTTGAAGTTTCACAACCCGAATATATACTTCTCTTTGATTTTTTGAAACTATAAAATAATAATAACACTATTTTGTTTATTATATTGCAAAAATAAATTAATTTATTTTGCAATTTGATAAATTTGTTCTAATAAATTATTATAATCATTCACAATACAATGACGGCATTACTGCACTCTCTCTGTCATCCATCAAAGTACTGTAATACCATTTTTTACTGTTATATATAATAAATAAATGATTTTTTATTATTTAATTTATTTATAATAATTTATTGTTTTTTATAATCCATTTGTTTACAATAATCGTAATCATTCACAATTATTGTGCATTCCTTCACTCTCGCTCTCCCTGTCATCCGTCAAAGTACTGTTCCTTTGCAATCACACAAAACAAAAACACAGTTTACTTCTTCGATTTTAGTACACAAAATGTTGTTACATATAATAAATAAATTTGTTTTATTATTTATTTATTAAATTTGTCATTAATTATAATAATTGTGTTTTTTTTATTAAAATCCATTTGTTTACAATAATCGTAATCATTCACAATTATTGTGCCTCCTTCACTCTCTCTCTCTCACACACTGTATGAACTCTCTCAGTGTCTTCTGGTCAAACCACATAAACAAAGGTATTTTCTTTTCGTATTTTAACACTTTAAAAAGGCATTATTCATTTTAAATATATAATATATTAACTTTTTAGTATTTGTTAAACATATTTTTACCGTTTCTAATAATTAATTACTATATTTACAATGTTAAATTCACATAAGAAATATTTTGCAATACAAGGCGACGGCTACCACACGGCGAATGAAGAAAAATTGAAAAACGTCCCACCTGCTAACGAATGGGTGAAGACATAAACAAAGGTATTTTCTTTTTGTGTTTTAACACACTAAACTGTACTTATTTAATTTAAATTTATAATATATGAATTTTATATTATTTTCTGAACATAATTCAATAGTTTTTAACAATTTAATAATGTTTTTACACTGTTAAATTCACAATCTTTTGCAATAACAAGGCGACGTCCACTCACGACGGTAGAAAAATTGAAAAACGTTCCACCTGCTAACAAATGGAAGAAGACATAAACAAAGGTATTTTCTTTTTGTATTTTAAAACACTAAACTGCATTTATTTAATTTAAATTTATAAAATATTAATTTCATATTATTAGTTTAACATATTTCAACCGTATTTATTAATATTTTTACACTGAAATTCACATAAGAAACCTTTTGCAATACCAAGGGGACGACGGCCACTCGCTACAGAAGAAAAAGTGAAAAACGTTCCATCTGCTAACGAATGGTAGAATACATAAACAAAGGTATTTATTTTAACACTTTAAAGAAGCATTATTTAATTTAAATTTATAATATTGTTACGAATATAACTTTAGGTTTAAGTTAATTTAGATGAATTCCGTTAATTTAAGAATTTGAATTGTAACGTAAATTTCTACTACGCAGTTTATTTGAATAACTTCACAACAACAACCACTGTATAGATTTTTCTACATCCTTCCATTTCCTCTTTCATTTTCTATTTTGTTATTGTCGCACAATTCTTGTTAAACGTCATTCCTCTTTCTTTGTTATTCCCTCGCCTGTATATGTGTTGTTGTTATTCCTCTTTCTTTGTTATTCCCTCGCCTGTATATGTGTTGTTGTTATTGTTGTTATTGTAAGTTTGTTTACTCAAGTTTGTTGTTGTTATTGTTCACTCAGTAAGTTTGTTGTTGTTATTGTTACTCAATGTGTTTGTTGCATTGGTAGATTGTTCGTGATCTAGGTGTTACCAGATCGTCTAGAAACTTCTGTAGCGACAGGCAGGGCTCATATAAATAGAGGGAATGGAAAGGCAGTGAGTCAGTTGTGAATCAGATCGCGAATTGAAACCGTCAAGTAACGTAAAGCTGTAAAGTAACGTGCAAAGTAAAGTGTGTCAATAAACTCATTGTAATAATCGTAATCAGAAAGAACCCGCGTTTTATTTGGTACGAATTGTATCGGGAAATAAAACAACGTCTACACGGGATTAACTAAAATCCAAGAACGTAACAATTGGTGTCGGAAGTGAGATTACGATAATACTACGATGAAGTTTAAGGATCTACGAGTGGAAGACTTGAAGAAGGAGCTGAATAAATTGGAATTGTCCTCTACTGGCAACAAGGCTGAACTACAAAAACGTCTGTTGGATGAGTTCGAGCGCCGTGGTATGAACATCGATACATATGAGTTTGACAGTAAGGATGAAGTGGATTTATCGGAAATGGGCGAATCCAACGGTGGTGAAGTCTCGTCAGTAGCTGCCAGGGGTGACGATTTCAGAGAAATGCTGGCCAAAATGTTTGAGGAAAATTTCAGAAGGAGCGAAGAGAATACCAGAAAGTTAGAAGAAAACACGAGACGAATGTTCGAAGAGAATGCCAGAAAGTTTGAGGAAAATTCCAGAAGGAGCGAAGAGAATTCCAGAAAGTTAGAAGAAAACACGAGACGAATGTTCGAAGAGAATGCCAGAAAGTTAGATGAAAATTCGAGAATAATGAACGAGAAACTCGAGAACATTACAGAAGTTATTGGAAGGAGAGTGGAAACCGTGGAGGTCCAAATTAAAGAGTTGGATAAGAAAGTGCAGTCGGTTGACGAGAAGATTCTGTCTGTGGACGAGAAATTTCTGGCCCACGACCACAGGTTTACGAATCTGGAGAAGAAAATGTCGGAACTGGAAATCAAAGGTGGTCCGGTGCGAGTTCCTGATAACACGCTAAAAATCAAACCTCCTGTATTCGACGGCTCTACGTCATTCAATGTTTTCAAGTTACAGTTCGAGACAGTGGCTTCTAGAAATTCGTGGAACGACAGCGACAAAGCGGTTGCACTACTTCTGGCATTGAAGGGCAGTGCTGCTGATGTTATACAGAGTATTCCTGTCGCTTCTAGAAACAACTATGAAGATGTTATTGCTGCACTGGAACGTAAGTACGGTGGCGAACATAAACAAAACATCTACCTTATGGAACTAAGGGGTAAAGTACAGAGGGCAAACGAGACGTTACAAGACTTTGCAGCTGAGGTGGAACGTTTGGTGCTAATGGCGTATCCAGGAGAGAATCACCCATTGCTGGACCGTATGAAAATCGAAACCTTTGTGAATGGCATACGTGACCCTGAGATTAAATGTGCAACATATGCGTCACCAAAAGCGTCATTTGCCGAAACTGTGACGTTTGCCCTTGCCCAAGAGACGGCAAGAATGATTGTTAAGCCCCAGACCCACAAGATTAGCCAACTGGAGACCGAATGTTGCGAACACAAATCTCTCGTTAACTTGATCAAGGACGCCATGAGGCGGGTAATAGAAGAAACAAAGTTTGTAGGGATGACTAAGCACAGGGTTAGATGCTACAACTGCGATAAAGCAGGTCATATTGCGCGCGAATGCAGAGCTAAGCGCAAACGATCCATGTCATCGTCACCACCTCCAACGAAAGATGGTAGAAGAATGGCTCAACAGTCCACCAATGAGTCACCGTTAAACAGAATCGAGCACAGAGAAGGCGGAAAACACGGTAATGCTGATGCCCTGTCTCGCCGGCCATGCAAGGTAGAATACAGCCACTGCTCAAAGGCTGAGTGCAAAGAGAATATCGTGGATGTCCGACGATTGCAGTTTGAGTCGGGAGAAGATTGGTCGACGGAACAACGAGAGGATCCCATTCTGGGCAAAATAATTTCGGCCATAGAAACGGGCAAGCGACCTAGTCGGAAAGAAATTACCTCCGAAAGCCCTCTTTTAAAATCCTATTGGGCCCAGTGGGACAGTCTACTTATAAAAGATGGTTGCCTATATCGCAAATGGGAAAGTGAGGACGGTAAATCTCACCGGAACTTGATCGTCGTCCCAGACTCCAAAATAAGAGATGTCTTGTCGGAGTTTCACGATGGGCCAAGTGGAGGACATCTTGGCATAGCAAAGACCGCTGAAAAGGTAAAGCAGAGATTCTACTGGGTCGGCTGTCAAAAATCCATTGCCGACTGGATC